TAATCTACTTCATATTGCGTAGAATCATTAGAATTTATTCAATAAAAGTGTGGTTCATAGCATAGTAAATGAATTCCGAATATAATTGATGGTTATGGAGATAATTATAGAGGCAAAACTTTATGTGGATAGTTTATAATTCTGGATAAACATGCGAAACACTGTTAAAGCTCGGGAAGCATGTGACTAATCGATACCTCAGAAGCACAAAAAAGATAATAAGTATTTAGTAGTAGGAGTATAGTCTAGAAAAGAAATAAACTATTCAACTGCCTAAAAAGCAAGACTAAAGGTCCCATTCCTCACAAAGTACGACAATTAGACATCATTTTTTATTACAGGAGAATTCTGTCAGCAAAGGGCACACAACCCTGTATGTAGCATTATTCGACATCGGTCCACTGAAGCTTTGAGTAGCTAGTCAGATAACAGATTTCTCTTTTAACTGCTTCGCTGAAGTAGAAGGTCTCACCACAGGGTAAGACTGTTATGGACTTACAAAGTGCCAGTGGCAGTGTTCGGTCCTCTCCAAAGTGGTCATGTCATAATTCACCAGAGGATCATAAGCCCTGGAAAAAGTGAAACGCATTACATCACCACTGAAACTGCAAAACATAGAAAAAATAAACTTATTCTCCTGTGGAATCGGGAAGTACCGAAATTCGAGGACGGATGACGCCAAAAGGCTACATGAATGCGAAACTGTGAGCAGACAACAATAGAAGAGAACTTATCGTAGGTCGAGATGCACTAACGAGATGAATGAGAACGGAGAACTATTTGCAGATTTCTGCGCCTCAAGTGATTTAGTAATTGAAAACAGGACAAACACAAAGCGACTTAGGTTTCACAAGATAAACAGACTGAAATCCATATAGATTTTATTTCAATCTATAGAAAGTAGAGACGCCGCCGGCTGAGCACAAGGTGGAGAAGAGGAGTAAATGTAGGCTCACACAATTATTTAGTGCAAAGAACCTTCAAGATCAAGATAAAAGCCTTCAAAGGAGCTAGAAACCGACCATAATTCAAGTTTACCACTTCGTAGATGAGGGACCTCAGGAAGAAGTTGGACACATTAAGCAGCATCACCGAGTTAACCACACTAGAATTCTCTGAAAGTCATGCGTAGAGGAACCTGTATAGATATTTGAGACAAGAAGAAGCAGGACAAGAAATGCCTGAGTGTGGACACTTGGAAGGCAGTAGAAGATAAAGGAATTATGATGCAGGAAAAGAATCGGTGTATAAAAACAACAAAGTGTGAAGAAAGACAAGGCAATCTTTCACGACAACATACAAGGTGCCTTGACGAAATTCGACTTAAGCCTATGTAAGACTTGGATTATTTCCCTGTCCACCCCGAAATATTAGGTCGCATTACCATCATTGCCAGTTTAGGTAGGAGACGGTCACCGTTGTCGGTTCGCTGGCACGGAACTCCATAGGTGCCACCAACATCCTTCTCAGATTGACACTGGACTACATCGACGCCTAGTTTAAAAATAGGAAGTGAAGTGGTAGAGCACGTTGACCGCTTCACTTATTTGGGAAGTATCATCAGCCCCAACGGGTTGGTCTCTGACGAAATCTCAGCACGAATACAGGGGGCTCGTTTCGCATTTGCCAGTTTACGCCGACTCTGGCGTAGACGAGATGTTCGACTATCGACCAAAGGGCGGGTGTACTGCTCACCAGTCCGATCCGTCCTCCTTTATGGCCAGCTGTGAGACCTAGCCACTGAGAGTGGAAGACATGAAAAGATTAGCTGTCTTTGATCATAGGTGTCTGCGTTCTGTCTCCCATGTGAAGTGGTGGTATAATATAGTGAGCGATATTGAGGTTAGGCGCCGAGTGATAAGTAAGGAGGGGAAATCAATCGACGAGGCTGTGAAATTACATCGACTGGGATGGTTAGGACGTGTGTTACGTGTGCCTAGCCATCGCCTTCCTCGACAATAAGCAATGTTAGCTGATATAGGGTGAATCAGGTTAGAAAAGAGTTAGTGGCGGTCAAATGAAAACATGTCACCAGTCAATGAAATCCACAACAGTTGGTTTAAGCCACGTAGGAAGGTGTAGACTTCTTGACTGGTGGGGGGTCCTCTGTATGGTAAAAACCAGTGGCTGGAGACAATTGGTGATGTGGCTCAAAATCGTCCTCAATGGTGCAGATGCATCCACTCCTTGTGACTTATGATCTCCAATGAAACTGTTTTGTTTTTCTTTATTACTTCGTTGTCTCACACCTCTGCTCACTGTTTCTATTATGCTTTTCTTGTACTTTCTTCTCTTGCTTCGCGTGCTACACGGAGTGTGGCGACTTGAACTTCCGCACATTTGTGCAAAGTTCTATGTCGAAAACAGACAGACAGACACTGCCAGTTTAGACTACGGATACAAATTACCGTGAACATGGTATTAATGAATGATATGAAAAATGCAGGTGATACTTTGGACACCTTTAAGGTATAGTGGTGATATATTTTGAATGAGAAACAAGAGCATTAAAACGGGTACCACAGAGCTACTGGTCAAAGGTCATGAAAATTTCTAGTTGAAATCATTGACTTAGCTGATATAATTACTCAGAAGCGGCTTTATGAGGAAAAATTAAAGTTGTAAATTACGTAGTACCCAACGGCACAAGGGAAGAAATGGTTAGAAATTTGATAAGGTTAAAATTGCTATTGAGTACTACTTAATTCACAACTTTTATTTTTTTTTTGACTTCTAAAGCCACTTCTGTGTAATTATATCAATTATGTCGTTCCATATTACTCAATAATAGACTACTATAAATTTTTGGTAAATATAAATACAACTGAACGGTTTCTGAAAATGATTTCGTTGAAAAGGAAAATTTTCCTCACTGAATTTGTTTCTTTTATTTTCTTCATGGCTCAATGGGTATTTTCGGTGATTATTGACTTAAATTCCATCCCGATGAGGTATTTCGGTATTAGGTGGTTGGAAGCAATCATCAAGACAAGCCCTAGACCCCTATGTTTCATGATTGTTCTAAGTAGTTCAGTCTTAAGCTTTGAGTCCAAATTTTTTCACCTATTTGCCGGCTACCGGAAGACGATGGAAACTCACTACTTCAGCGCAGAAAGCAAAGCAAGCAAACATAACTCTTCAAATCCAAACGATAATACAACCTTAACATGTTCCAACCAACTTGAAAGAACAGTAGTTGACTTATACAGTCAGAGTTAAGATCTTGAACACTGATCCTAGTGTGTATAATACAGTAGAGACTGATAAGCAGTATTATGTATATCCACACAATATACTCGATTTGCTGCTCACACACACATGGGTTTAGACATCTTGTCAACATAGTTCAGATGATTCGCATTATTAAAGATTCACGAAGTCAGATTCTGAAAACCATCTCTTCAGAAGAGAAGTTTGATCACACTATACATAACATGAGTTCAAACACAATGGAATGACTATATTTGGTTAACTAGGCTAAAGATGTGCTCGAAAATAAATTGTCTTCCATTGAGAAAACTCCACCGAAAAAAACTTGCTGTTGCCAAAGCAACAAAACCTTCGGGAAAAATTGAACTTACTTGTGATTTCAAGTTAAAGATGGTCGATATTATTATAGGCTATTGAAGAAACCTAAAAAAAAAAACTTAACTTTTATCCAACAGGGCAACACTACATTGTATGAAACTGCATCGTTTTGATTACTTGGTTTTATTCCTCTACGTCCACAATGGAACATAAGGCTTCAAGTTAGAGCTTTGATGTTTCGGTAGTCGTCATGTTTATTTTTACGGGATAGGGTTGCTAGCCTCAAACCCCAACCTTCCCTCTTTACCAGTATTATTACTATCATAGCAGGGTAAAGGAGTGAGTCGGCCGGCGGTCGAACTCCATGTGACGTGGTTGGTTGGTGAGCATTCCTTGCCGCTGTGCCACTGAAATGCACTTTCACCAAATAAGATAGTTCCAGTTAGACCAACCTTACAAGTGTCACCTGTTTCACAAAACACTAAATACTGTGAGCTTGACTCCATGAATACTTCATTCCCTCGGAGTTGTCTCCCCCACCCCCACTTCACCATCCTTGACCACTCACTGGATTGCTAGAACTTAAAAAGACATTAATTATGATAATAATCTTTTAAATAGATTGAACTGTAGCAATGAAGTAACACAAATAAAAGAATAATATTTTTGATATTAGTTGAAAAAACTCCAGCTGATTTCAATGAATGCAATTAAATACTAATCAAAGAATAAATGATCAATTGACAACTGCAGTAGCACAGGACTTCTTATGACAGCATGTGTGTATTATGGTATTATTATTAATAGAAGTGCTCCAATCGGTCATTAGGTGAGTAAACACAGAATAAAGATAGATTCACCAGTATCATATATATGCGCAAATTTTGTTTAAATTGTACATTTTGTGTGCATATTTTTCCACCTCATTCATATATATCATCGTTTATTTTTTTCTGCATACAATGATCAAGTTTTGTTAATGTGTAGAGAGATGGAAAAACAATAATTACACAGAAAATTCACCGGAAAAAAAGATTTCGATTATTATTATCATTATCATCATCATTCAATCTTATTCCCATCTACCAAATCATATATAAATATAATAAAAAAACAAAAACAAAATAATGACTGAGTGAATGAAATTAAGAGTAGTGAAGATTTCACAGTTTGTTAGTAGTTCTGTCTTTTATTCGCTGTTGTTGTTTTCTTTACGAAAAACAATAAACAACCACAAGAATGTCTGGAACAATACAATCAAAAAATGTGTGTAACGCAACACTGGTAGTTACATAGAAGGGGATGGGGAGGAGTTCAAAGTGTGTGTGAAAATAAAAAATCAGTGAGATCCTAATGATCAATTTTCATTTATGAGTTGTTGGTTGTTTTTTTTTCTTTCAAAGAGGATGCTTCACATTCACAATTGGTAAATTTGTCATAGTTAGACATTGGCAACGAAGCAGGTGTGATCGTTAAATTTGTAAAGTAGGCACTTCTACTGAACTGACCGGCATGATCATATACACCACGGCTCTTACAAACAGAGCTAGAGCGATCAGATAGAGAACTGTTAAAACAGAAATATTCATTATTATTATTCGTAATGAGTAGTGAATGACAGGGTGGAGAAGAAAAAAAAGGAAAAATGAGGTCATCATGACTCTGTACTCCATGGGTGATTACTAAACAAAATAAGGGACAACAGTTAACGTTGATACTTATAAACATTTTTCGTTAAAAAGATTTCAATAATAACTTACACGTTGATGCTTCATATACTACACACAATTTTATAAGAGAGCCAGGATATTGTCAAATTCTTCAACCATAACAAACGAAATGTAATCCCAATGCCTGATATATGCGTCGCGTAATCCTCTTAATAAGGCATAAGCTAATCGACGGTTAGCTAATAGATGGACTAGACTTAGGAAATTTGATCTATGCATTTGTAAATTGGCTACAGGCAATGGTTACTTACCACACACGAAGTTTTATAAGAGCTTGTCTTGTATTCTAATTAAGTATTCGAATATAACAGTCCAAATGTCCTTTTGAATTGTAGTTCTAATATTTGTGCCTAATCATATATAGTGGTGTTTCATGTATGACTGTGTTAAAACTAAAATAGTACGATAACAGTCAGATAATAATAGTCCACCTAAATGAAGATTGAAAAATTTACTAGGTACAGAGACAGTAAGCGTAGTACAAAAAATGAGCCGGCTCGCAAGACGACTTAAGCTTAAGTAGATAAGCTTAGCCTGTTTACGTAAAATCACCCACGCCTGCCTATATACCACAACCAAGTTTGCTGTTATTAAACAATATTAAAATTAATTCACGAAAGTTTCAGCAAAGTAGAGCACGAACGGTCTTACAGTATCACATCTGATCCGTGTCCCATATTTTTACGACAGAATGCAGAAAAGTTCACACAACAACTACATTATATTGGCGTTCTTGTTCGATAGTACTGTCTGCTGTGATCCATATTGACCAAAGGATCAGCGAGTGTGAATCAACCCTGTACACGGAGGTAGAAAACGTTACCTTTAATGGCATGTTGCAAATTGGGGTATCTTTTCGACTAATAATATTTTGTTATTAAAAGTGAAAATAAGTACTATTTTTTCCTATCGTAATCCTAAGGTACTATCCAACGAAACAACTTATCTAATGCAATGTAGCAGCACAAGTTATGAAACATTCAAACAGGAGGTTCAACTTGATGAATAACACGAAAGAAAATTAACGAGTGAAAGAATGTGAGAACAATAGCGGTAGTGTAACTCAATTAGAGTTAGACTGTCAACAGTGAATCTGGTCTCAAGTGATGAGTGTGAATTGTTCAGTGCCATGTTAATGAAGGCGTATCGCCTCTCTGTTTGAACAACCATAGATTCCGTCATTGATAACAAAAACTTTAGTGAAATGGGCTATGGGGGGAAAGCATTGTAGAAGTAGAGAAACAAGGAAAAACATAAGAACAAAATTAAGTACCAATTCTCCATTTACTCACAAAAATGTTGCCTCCCAAAGAACAAAAACTTAAGAGACATTGGTCATCAGAGAATAATTCTTCCTATCAAAGCTATGTGGTTAAATTGTGTCCTAAAAGGTCACGGGAAATGCCAATAGTCATCATCTTTTACTTCAGTGGTTGTAATCCTCTTTTTTAAACTTGTACAATAATTCCGTTTGCAATTTATTCTTATTCTTTTTTCTTACCAAACTCCTAACTATGTACAGATTCTGAATCTGTTATTCTTATGAGCTATATTCTTGTTTCCAAGCGTGCGCGTATTCCTTTACGTCCCCAGTGGAACATAATGCTTCAAGCTACAGGCTTGAAGCTTAGATAGCAGTGGGGTTGGTAGCCTCGTACTCTCTGTACCAGTCGTATTATTGGTTTAGCGAGGTAAAAATGAGTGCGCCAGTTGGGGATCTTAACGCTATTCATCACTTAATTTTTTCGCAATAGGTAGAATGACTCACCGGAACTGTGTAAGTGATCCAACTCACTTTCCTTATATGTAATTTCACATGACCTTTTTACACGTCATATTATTGATTGACTTATATCAGCATTTCCATGACCTTCCAGTAATTATTTCATGATCTTTGTTTTCGAAAGAGCAAGACGGGTCGAACTTTTCCAAATCATTTTTGATTTTAAATGCGTATCACGATAGGAAATGAAGCTATACTCAATAGCACCTTTCATTTACATTTGTACGGCAGTTGATAATACTGTTTGAAATGCATACTAAAGAATAACATACTGAAATACATACGGAAATCGTATGTTGCACAGCTATTGCAGTGCGCAGCAATATACCACTTCCTAAAGCATATATATAATGAAGATAATTCTACGGAAATGCTATCCACTCAATTAGCCGATACAAACTCTGAAATGAGTCAAGACGTGAGTTTCTCCAAATGCTGGTGCTAGTTACAAAAGTACAAGAAATACCAAATCGACCAAAAAATAATCTGCTTACCCGACCAAAGGAAATATAATGCACTATTTGATTTTGCTGCTTCGGCGGTCCCGGCAGTTACGCTGATTGCTATAATCAAGGCGATTACAGTGAAAATAGTAAAGGTGACCCAACGTGAACGAGCGTAGGCTGGGCCGACAGACGTGACTTTGTGACAATGTGGACATTTTGCTTTTATCAGACCGGCTGCCTCAGATGCATTTCTACCAGACAAGATTGCAATTACTGCATTTGTACGACCAGGCAAGGTTTCAGGGGATGGTATAGAAAATGGGAAATTGCAACTTCCACAAGTTAAACGCAGACTTGGTGGGATACCAAATGTTCCATGTGTACCTTGGACATGTAAACCTCGATTACCACTACCATCCTCCTAAAAGGTCAAATATAAAGGGACAGTGAACATTTATTGCGGAAACGACACAAATTAATTCGACTAAAATAAATTCGGAGCATCTAATTAGTAAGAGTCATTCAGCTTTTAAGGGAATCAGTATGGTACAACTACTCAATAACACTTCAATTATGGTAGTCAATACTGCATACTACAAAACACAGCAAACGGAATTAAACTAAATTACAAAAGTACGAACAAAATATGCTGAACACATTTTCAAAATCTGAAACAATAACACGCTAACCGACATTTCAGGAATATACGCCAGCTTCATATACCATGCGTCGGTGGTTCAGTAGCGAGATGTTTGTCGTTCAGCTTAGATTACCGGCTGACGTACCCCTAAATCTCTCCTAGTTTGGTAGCCGATAGAAATTCCAGGAAAGGAACACTAGTCGTGAGCCTAGTGACTTCACCCTGTGAAAACAACACCACTACTGAGTCTTTAAAAAAATTAAGCCCTATGCTCCACTCAGAAAGAAATGAAAAAACATACACCAAAGTAGTAGGGTCTGACAAGTGAGACAGTGATTATGAGTTTATTGTATAAGACATCATAGCTAGAAAACATCCCCACCAAACAAAAAAGTTAAATGATGCCCAGTAAGGGTGTATGTTCATGTTCTTCACAATGAGCAGCATACAAAATCTCAGGATTGATGAGACCCTTTGGTGTCATGAGAACATAGGTTCGAATTCGCGATATTAAAAACTGAGTATTTAAAAGTTAGACACAGCATATATGCACTATGAATATTCGATCAGTGAGAGCGTATACGCGAATGTACTTGGCTCACTTATAACGAACAGTTACGTGAGTGACATCACTTTCAGAACATTTTATAAGAAGTGTTACTGTATAGAATAACAAAGCAGCGTTCGCACACACTTTGTTAGTATATTTTACGTAGCAGTTCATATATATATATATATATATATATATATATATATATATATATATATATCAATTAATATAATGCCATGATAATACTAGTACTTCATTGATGGTATTCACTCATGACAGTGTTTGTTCTCAACGATTATTAACAACACATTGAAGTATAATCTGACAAAAGAATGACATGTAGCGTACGCCAAACAAATTCTACATAAAACCTATAAAAACATATGCATTATCTGAAAATACAAATTCGATGCGAAGTCTTACTACACACGAATTCCTACAAGCATCTAGAGAAATTTTGTGCACTGAGGCATTAACCGAACTATTGAAAAGTTTGTGTAAAAGATACTTTACACAATGATCAATTCCCATCTCTTTGCTAAATGTCTTAAATACAATAACTGAAATTACCCCCTTCGCTTTTCACAGACTAACCGCATCCCAACGTCATTAACCATAATTTACGCACCTTCAGTTAGTCACCATAAGGGGCAAATTACGGATGACACATGCGTACATTGAAAACATTTTTGGTTCTCACTCTACTGATAGTGTCCATTTGTACATTCAATCAAATAACGCTCACAGTTGCTACCTACGAGAAATAATGGCTTCTCTATATGCGCAAGACTGTCTGAACTAGTCATTCGCTTAACACCACTAAGGTGAATATCTCAAAATACAGCATGCTCGTCAACCAGAACGTGATGAAAAGGGAGAACTGTTAGATTTCGAATAACAGATACACATTTAGTACTGCAACAAGCAGTTTGGACTGAAACTGCAAGACGCCTAGTAATGTTTCAGGAACACCTGACGTAGTCTACGAAGAGAAAATATAGACAGTGGAGTTATCAAGGAAGGGAAGTGAGAGTGTATCAAGTAACGAAAAAGATTAGCCTTAGATCAGGACATTTAAGTTATTTACATCCTAAACTCAATAAAAGTTAGGGCTATTACGCCAATAATGACTCCGATGTTTCTTGTAGTGTTGTACTTAAGATATGATATAGTGTTATGGACTTTCGTTAATTGCAGTCCGGAAGATATTCAAAAGTCGTGGCACTTCTAAAGAATTGTTAAGTACAGAGCTATTATCAACTTTCATGAAATATCCACATGAAAACAAATAGTACCAGCTTGTGAAGGAATACTAGTTCATTGAAATAACACCGACATTCGGTCAAAGGAATTCCAAACAAGATACTCATAACTTCTCTAGAATTAAGACAAATTACCGAAACCATTATTTCTGTTAGAACGTTCGAAAGATAGGACAATAAACGAATCAAAGGTCTGTATTGAAATGTTGCTTTCCACTCTATACTGTTCACCCTACGAAAGACTCCTGCTCAAAGTGGTCACAATGATATATACCGTCAACTCAGTCGAATTCTTAAGGCGTTTCGGGACATTGTTTTCCTGTGGCTTTTGACACGAAAGGCCATCTACAGCAACAAATTCGATATTCCACGAAGCACAATATGCTCCGCACACAGTGAAAAACAGATATTTAAGTAAAAGTCAAAATTTTAGTAGCACCGAAGGTACTTGTCATCTAGCTACAACTCAGACCCACCCCCGACGGCCTTTTTATGTCACGAGCCACACATATCAGAGGTGAAAGTACTATCTACCAGCCCAGATTGAAGTAGATGGGGTTAACCCCGAGCCTAGAATCCATAGACCAAAAATTGCATGTTTAAGTCAGTGAGCTACATGTACAATATCTACCACTTAACCAGGCTAATTCTCGTTCGCCAATCCGATTCTTAAAGAAACAAACACTAGCAGGTTTGCCAAGTTATGCCGAGTAGCCATGGTGAAGGTCTCGCAGTGAAAAGTGCATCTGGAAAGCATCAGTTGTGCTGCAGAAAGAATGGACTTTGGTGGCTTGAATGTCACATTAGGACCATGAATCAGCAACACACAGGAAAACGAGGGAACATGCTGATATTTGTACACAAAGGATAAACAAATTTAGCATAATCTAAACGTATCTAGTACATTATTACTTCAGTGATCGGATTTTCACCCTGACAACGGTTGATCGCACCTCCGTATTTGACTTCTACCAGCAAGACTTCCATATATCGTTTTGAAAACCATCACGTCTAGTCGATTCCTAGTTCAACAAGCATTCCCATCATTACTTTCAAAGTCCTCAGCTGGTGAATTATTTTAATTACCTACCTGGATCTACTGCAAATGACCTGACGCTGAGAGGCAGTGCCTGTGAGACGAACCGGCTCAACCATAATTAACCACCAGACCTAAGTGGACTCAAGGAGGTTAAGCTGCAAAGGGCAGGCGATCTCCGGGGTTACTTCTGCTCTTCTCATAAGGATTTGGTTATTGAACGAACAAAGCCCCATAACGGTATCAAGAGTAGAACCAGACAAGTAAATACTAATCCTAAACTAGAGTGAAACTGAAACAGGGCTGTAGTGCGAATTCTAAGAAGCTTTCGTAGGTTCTTCACTTGGACAACTGATGTAGATTCCCTCAAATCTAGGGGTACTATGCGGTGCATTATTGGAGACTATGTACACGTTTAAAAAATTTAATGCTTAACAATTTGTTCTCAACAACAGCATGTTTTCCGAAACTTATATTTTCCCCTGCTACTGACTATAGAGAGGTATTAATAATGAGTACGTGGTAACTCTATGTGACTTCCAAGAACAATAAAACCCAACAGAACAAACAAGAGAATGTTAATCACTTCATCCAGTAACCATGAATAATTACCATCTCGAATACAGATTTAGGTCAGAGCACTGACGCACACGATAGATTTACTTGCAAACAAATAACTCACCTCACGAAGAACGATGACTTTTTGACATTCTGGACGAGGACACCCAACCTTGCTTGTGGACTCATTGCACACCAGTAGACAGTTACACGGACATCTTACATATTGCTTCCCTGTAGGTGGACCTTTGATGGGCTAAAACAGGTGTCAGGAAGAAATTTAAATACCGTAGCTTCAGAGCAGTGAGGACATCGAACAACCATTTGCCTCTCACGAGGGGAAAACGTTATAACTTGCCGGCATACTTGACAATTCACAGTAGCCTGAGATTCACCATCGCTTGTAATTGCCTTCTCGATGGCCGGTCGGGTGGCAGAAGGCCCTACACGAGTATCCGGGACTGAGGAGTTATTTATAAGTGGGAATTACCAGCAGATACCAGAGGAGTCCTCTCGTCCATTTCAGCGGAAGCAAATCTTTTGAACTACGCTCCAAAGCCCAATGTTCAATGCATGATATACAGCGCATTTTTCACTATCTAGTATCAAACAAATAGACTTATTTCAGCTCACTTCTTGATAGTGGGGAAATACCTCTTGGTCATCGATTACCTTTTCCGTAGTTCATCGTACCACTCACCTACAGTAGCTTGGTATACTCTGAGGAGAGTTGTATGTCGGATTGGTTATATCTGATTTTCAGTATGCGGTTTGTTAAAGCCGCTGACGATTAGCGGCTGTCGATATTCCTCTCGCCTACCAGCCATCCACTGTGGCCGGATAGTGAGATGATAGTAATAGCGGTAAAAGCATAATTAGTGGGGAATGTGTAAGTCAAAAAGAAGAAACATGTAAATATATGAAAGTGATAACTAAAATAAGTGAACGGATAAGCAGAATGAGCAGAGGAATTGACGAATGAAGACTGTGGATGTTCAGGGGATTAGTCTAGTTTAAAACCCACTGTGGAGTACAGTATGTGTGAACTACTTCTCATTTTTGTCAGCGAGGACAGCCTGTTTGGCACACTTTGTGTCTTACTGCGTATTCATCTATCCTCCACTTGAAACTTTCGGGTGAACGTGCAGTAGTCGTGGTTGTTGGTAGAGATTTACACGTGGACCAGTCTCGATGAGAAAGCTGGTGAGAACTTTGAGTAATAAATGTGCATATATTATGTATAATATTGCGTCTCCTTAATTGCCTCTATTTTTGTTTATCTGCTATAAGATGCACTACACTCCTCTACTAACTAGTAAATCTTCATGTAGACCGTATTCCGATGAACTTTATGAAGATAATCAAACATCAGCTATTTTAGTCTAATGAGAATGTTTCTGGAAACATACCGAATACAGTGAAGCGGACAAATCAATTATTTAAAATATGTAGATTATGTTTGTATCGGAGTCACACTGTTGTTCTCTCGAATATTAGAATCAGATAGAGCAGTCTCCCAAGTAACTAGTGAATGTAGTGTAATGTAAAATATAAACTTATCGTCTTCGCATCGACACAAAAACTAGGTATGTGGCCTAGAGAGTGTGGAGGTCATGGAAAATTCTAAATCCAACTGTGCCACCTTGGTTCTTAAACATGATATGACAGTTTATTATTTCGATCCCATTTGTATGTTTATTGCCCATTCTTCACAGTGTCGCCGTAATAAGGATATTTGTTTGAAGCCTATGTTCGCGAAAAATACCCAGTGGTTTCCCATCGGTGAAAAACTCCTCCGATTGGCTTGATATAGTGCCTAATGGTCGTCTACCTATGCTAATAGGGTGTCTGTACATCGTTTCGCTTATGTTTGTCTGTTCGACCTCGTGCTTCGTTTGCTTCTTGTCCAGTGCCGGTCGCAGTAGCCATGACTGTTATTTGAGCGTTTCTTGGGAGTGGATTCTCGCCCAGTTATTCTAATATGTATCGCGTCTATCCTGTGACTCCATAGTCTATACTTCTCTAATATTAAGACCCCTGTATGTTTATTCGCCTATTCAGGCTCCACCTTACGATCGGTTTTAAAATTCACTGTTTAACTTTTATGTGAAGGACACATAATTTCTGTGATTTTTCTCCAGTTGTTTGTTTGCGAGACGGATTGCCACTTTTGTAACTCTTCTTTGATTTCTCGGCAAGTTTCGGCACGTCATTTAAGCCACAGAAATGCGATGATATTAGTCACCCCGGTGATTTGTGCAACCATGGAATGGGTTTATGTGTGAGCTCACTTAGATGCCTACTATTAAAATGTATATCGTGTTAAATCCAAACCATATCTCCCAGGTGACTTACACCTTTTCCCAATCTTCTAATATTTTTGCGTCTGCCTGCAACCGATCTCTATCCCGAACATTTCGTTATTTGCCTAATTTTCATATCATCAGTATAAAGAAACACCGGGAAGCAAGGACGCCATGAAAGTTATTGCCAGATGTCAAAATCATTAAGAACACTGAAAAGGAACCGTCTGATACTCCAAAGGCGGGGCGGTGTCCAGATGGTGGGACCAAAGTGACGGCGGCAAGGAATGCCCTTGCCTCTCAAGGGCCACATATTCCGTTTCAAACGAGTCGCCACCACACACACGACTTGTGTTGTGAAGGAGAATGTCATGCTAAAGCGTGATAAATGCCCTCGAAAAGTGAATTAGGCTGCAATACTCATGGGTCAGCATGAAGACGGGTTTTTCCATGATTATCTGTACGTTTATTGTTTAGTGTACTATACAATGTGTGTTACTCCTATCATGGTCATCAGCCAGAATTTCTCTCGCCTTTGACCTATATGAGAGTATTATTGCCGATGGTGAGCAATATACAGCCAAAATGTTTATTGATACTGATACGGTCCTCAGAGATCTGTATTATGTGCACTGTTGTCAAACTTCTTGATTGTTAATATGATGTAATTTGTCATTTCATTATTTATATGTGGCTGAAGTGAAAATAAATGGAACCGGGAGCATATCTGTTGTCGTTTTTAAATTAACAAATGTGTACCACTTTGAAAAACATACAGCAGGCTAGCTTCAATTTCCCTGTATTACTGTAGACTCTAACTTTAATTTAGCACAAACGCACGTGATAGGAAATTTATTAACATAATGCAATTATTTTTTATTTGAAAAAACACTGAAGCTCGTCACCAGCATTGTTAGTTTATAATACTGTTGCATCAAATGAAATTGCCATAAGATAGATTGTTTTCCCTTGTTTCCCGAAAACGATTTCACTTCTTTGCATTCTGACTATTCCTCTCGCTCTTTTCATCAGTGTCAACGTAGTTGAAGATTGAACGATTAATTCATGGTTGTTTGCTCAAACCCTCATAATTTTCGCGGGTCATCAATCTGACAGTCATTGTCTCACCGTTCGCTGTTCAGAAGGAAGATTAAAAATTATCAGAAGTAATATCGGCGAAGTTAAACTTTCGACACCACTAACTACCAATCAGCGAATTATCCAATGAGATTCACGAACGATGTCGAATTATCCAATGAGGTTCACGAACGCAGTTCAATGTTGTATAGCGCCTGATTCATTTCTAATGCGTAACCTTACAAGGCTGTTGTTGCAATTAGAGGAGGTTAGTGTTTACCAGTATTTCCTAGATTTCAGTTGCTCCGGAAAGAACGAATTTGGTTGTGTGGTGGTATCATGACTTTAAAGAGCTAAACCAAATCAACTGATGGGTTTGTTCATCGTTGTGCTATATGTTTGAAGCCTACTAACACTAGAGAGGGTATGCTGATAATTTTATTATTTCGTAGGAACTTCTTTTCGCTAGGTCGTTTCTCTCCCTAAGGGTAGCAGATAGAAAAGCAACTACTCTTATACCTACTGTTACCAGAATTGTTAAGCGGGGGTCAATTACACACACGGAAAGGCTACAATTCGCTGTCATCTCTGGGATATATTCATCGTAGAGACAACCATTCAAGTGATTTTGTGGATCCCGTTACGAGGACACATACACATTCTAATGAAGGATTTTGGGGCAGGTTGGAAAATAGGATAAGGGCTATAAATGTATCTCAAAAGGATCTCATTTGTAGTCATTTGCATGAATATGTGTACAGGATATGGTGTAACTTCTCCATTGACAGTTCCATGCTAAACTGGGAGATTTTTCTATCACATGTTCGAGAAAGATATCCCATGTAACCTTTTTTATTATCTATTTTATGCTTTTTTCTACAAATATACATTTCCATTCATCATATATGCCTCTTTAATGTGATTGGTCCGTTCGAGGTCGTTTGCTGATTGGTTGTTAGTGGTGTCGAAAGTTTAACTTTGCCGTAATATCGTGATTTATTGTCATAACATTTGTTCTTAGAACTTCTGTAATAACATTATTTTTGGTTATATGTTGGTGTAAGAATAAAGGATTCTTGAGTTACCAATCTGTGTTCTGGTTTTTCGTGATGGTTATTACGAGTTGTTTCTGAAAGACTTCGAGGGAAAGCGTGAGGTCCAGCGTAGCAAGACCTGGACATTGACAGTTTACGAGATGAAAAAGGATGGATTAAGCATTTGCACACCATACATTCAGTTTCCATCACAAGCCTTTCTCGCATTCGAGTGGAAATAGACTGACTGGTTGGCTGGGCATTTAAGAATGATTTGGAGGTGACTATGTGAAGAGGAAATGAGAGTTTTCTGGCATTCATGGAATCGGGTGGATATTACAGTAGAGGACAGAGTTGGATGCATATGTTGCATCTAGGTCCTATGAAAATCACGTCTCAAAAACCGTTAATGTCCAGCTCTTGCTTCGCCGGACCTCTCGCTGTCCCTCGAAGCCTTTCAGAAACGCCTAGTACGAACGGATGCAAAAACCAGAACACAGATTGGCGACTAGAGAATTCTTTATTGTAACACCAACATATAAGCAGCATAATAAACTAAGTTCTATCAACAAATATTACAACAATAAATCACGATATTACTTCTGACAGTTTTTTTGGTTCTTTCTGAACAGCGACCGATGAGACGATGACTGCTGGCTTGATGACTCCCGCGAAAACCATGGAGGAGTTGGGTTTGAGCAAACAACCATGAATTGATCGTTCAATCTTCAACTAGTTTGACACCCTATATTACACTGAAGACCGAAATTTCCAAGCTAAGTTCACTTTTAACTCTTTGCAAAGATTTGGGCATTGGGCATTTTAATATAGGTTTTGTATTTCCCAACGATTGAAAAACAATCAAAACCGAAATGAATGACAATACTATTTATGGGAAAATACCCAATCACACTGCGTAAATTCTATCCTCATGTTTGTGGTCATTTGCAAACATATCGAAGTTTGAGCAGATGAAACCTCCAGTGGCACATGAGAATGGCGACCCACCAGGTGCGACTATGGCTTAGAAGCTTGACAATCCAAATTATTCATGACAGGATGCTGGGAAAGCTATGTACTCTTCGGAACAGTTCCACTTGGTCTATT